GAAAAGTACAATAATAAAAAGTATGGGAAATACTTATTAATAGTATAACTCATAGTAATCAAAAATAATATAAAATGGAGATTTTTTCTTAAAATTTTAATTAACGCGAACAATATAATAAATTCTTCAATAAAAAAGCAGTCCAATTATTTAGAAAAAATACAATTTGGATAAAATTCAATATAAACAATAAACCTCATTTAAATACATAATATATATAATCTAAAAGTACAATTAACATATAATTTTTATATGTGAAATTTAAAGAAAATAATGAAAATTATCTCTTTTTCAGTCATATTTATATAGCTATAAATACAAAAATCTTTTTTTAAATTTGATATTAAAAAAAAAATTTGGAATATATTTTCAATTCATTAAATTAGTTCCATTTCATAAAATTATCAGTAAATATAATAATTTTATGTAATATTTTTTCCTTTTTCTTTTTCTAATAGCTATTAATATACCTAATGAAGTTTAATTTAATATATTAATAAATCAAAAATATAATAAAAACGTGTTTTCTAAACCATATAAAATGAAGTACAAAAAATATTTAAATTTTTTGAAGGCGTAAAAATTGCCATATAATGCATCAAAAAAAGAAAAAATAAAAATTTTCATATTTTAGGTGAGTTACGTATTATTTATATATTAATTTTTAAAATGTAATAACTTTAAATTAATTTATATGTATGCATGCATGTTTCGAACAAATATTAATTGCATTAATACTTGCAAAGATATAAACTTAATAATTTTTCTTTTAATTTTATTCAAATAGAGAAAATTTTTTAGTATTTATAGTAAAATAATAAAAAATAAAACTATTATAAGTTTTGCAACACATAAAAATATATATAAAAAATATATTATGCTCTTAAAATTATAGATGTTATTCAAATGAAAACAGTGCAGTATTTATATTAAAATAATAAAAAATAAAATATTTCATTTTTACATAAATTTAAAAGTATAAAAAAAGAATGTAATGTTGCTAAAATTATAGAATATATTCAATTTAAAACAGTTTATTTTTGTTAATGTAAAACTTTTGTGCATTCATCTAGCAAAAAAGAAAAGAAAGATTTTAAATAATATATAAAATATTATTTATTTTATATATATGATTAATAAAATTATTGTATATTATGTTTTTCAAATACATAAAATAATATATATTAATAAATACATATAAAAATTACATAAATATTTAATATTTTATTAGTGCAAAAATTGAAGTATGCACATAAAAAGAACAAATATGTAGTTTAATATTAACATATAAACATAATTATTTTTTTATAGCATTTCATATACTTAATTTTATATTTTATACAAAAAGAAAAAAAAATTATATAAATATATAAATAATAAATTAAGGAAATTTCTATATCAATATTATCTCAATATTTCGTGGAATTATGGTAATGAAAGATATTTTCATGGGAAAATCATTATGAAAGTTCGTATATATTAGAATAAAAGTAATACTGAATATTACACGAAAAAGTAGCAAATTTGTATATTTATTTTTTTAACTATTTTTCATAAAGTACGAGTATCTTATGTTTAATACATTTACCATAAAATCTTTTTTTTTCCTATTTATATATTTTCATATTTATATTTATTATTCGTAATATTAAAGAAAAATTTTATCTCCTAGTTGATTTATAGTTTTAATTAATGTTATATTTGTAAATGAGAATAATTCTTTTATTTTTGATTACGATATAAATATTTATAATGATGATCAACCTCATAAACGCAATTAAGAGAAAATTTAAAGAATATAAATTAAATAAATCAGAAAACTCAAAAATTTTGAAAAAAAAATTGATAATGAAGAAATTTCTAGACAATTATAGTAATTCCAAATCACACTTTTAGTAGTTTAATGGGAATTAAATATAAATTTAATGAAAATTATCATTCTATTCATATTTGTTTGTAATATGTTCGTAAATGACATCAAACGTCCCTGTAATTTATCCCTATTTATATAATGTACATGAAAGTTTACAAATGAAGCAAAATATACATAAATGATCAATATATATACAACATTACTAAAAGTATTTATATGAATAGGAATGGATAATATCATAAAAAGGATTTATTTGTATTACAATATTATTGTAATTATATGAATTTAAATAACCATGAATAACAGGAGGAATTTCATAACATAATTTTATCATATAAGAATAATAAAATATAAATTCAATAAAGAAAAACTAAACATATAATTTAATAAATTGTTTTATAAAGTTTCTTAAAATTTAAAATGGTAAGTTTACATTTCTATAGAAAATAAAAGGAGTAACATCAAGAATTCGGAAAAAAAATTATATAGAATTAATTATTTCTTTAAATTAAGGATATTCTTATTAAAAGAAAAGAACTATAAGTTTATTTTAAAGGTGTTTTAATCTCACTGAACAAATAATTTTCATTATAAAATAATACAAAAAAATTTATTATTTAACAAGTAACAACTGAGAATGTTTATTGCGAGTAACCTTTTCATTGAGATTTAAGAAATATTTGTATTTTTTATACTTCTTAAATATATAAAATAAAAATTAGAAGAATTAAAAATAATTTTTTTTAATTTTTTAATGAAAAAATGTGAAACGGAAGAAAATTTTGAAATATTCTTTGAAAAATTATTGTAACACAAAAAAATAAAAATTCATGTGCTTCTAATGGAAGAAGAGAATTGTATTTTAGAACTTCATCTTAAACATATTGAAAATTTTAATATTAATGAATTAAAGAAAAATCCAAGTTTTTCTTACTAGAAGAAAAATATAAATCAAAATGTTATTTGTTTTGTATAAAATTTATACAAAATTAATAAGAATTATATTCTATCACTACAATTAAACCCTAATGCAAACGTAAATAAGTTTCAAAAAAAAAATAAATTTAATGAAAAAAAAAAATTATGCCAAGTTTATAAGAAAAATAGTTAAACAAAGCACCTGTAATCATGTTCCTTTCTAGAAACAAAAACATGAGGGAATAAACTAAAATAATTTAAAGTTATTAGGTAGTTATTTATTTAGTTAATAAATATATGTATATTCCAATGAATTTGATCAATTGTTAAAGAAAAATAGAAAAAATTATACTAATTTTTCATTTAACAAGTTTACCTCATAAAAATTCAATTAATATAGGTTTTTGTAATAGCTAAGCTGTTTTGAGATAAAATATTTTTCTTTTATTGTTTTATACAAAATGCATGATGATCAAACGAAATATAAAATAAATTCATTAAAATTGTTATATACATATATATAGAAAAAACTTATTTTATAAAAACATACAATTTTTTGATGAATAAAATGAAAATGCATATTTAAAATAAGATAATTAAATATATAAAGGAACTTTATATATTATAATTATTTAAGGTATTTTTATATTTTATAACATATGAAGATTTATTTCTAACATTAATGAAAAAAGGGTTTTATTATTAATGTTATGTTATAATTTTTCTCTTTTTAAATATTTATTTTTTTAAATAAAATATACTACATAATTACCCTTTATTTTTTGCTTTTTTGTTAGATAATACTTTTAGTTCTTAAAAAATATGCATAGAAACGCATAATTATTTACACAAAATATTTCAAGATATTTAATCAAAATAATAAGGTTTTTAATATAGATAATAATATAATAAAAAAATTATGAAATTAATGTGAATAATATTAAACATTTAAAGCAAATGAATATGCCATATTTTACCTTTTTTTCACTTTAATAGTTTATGATATATTTTTACATTAATATTTCTTTTAACAAATTAAATATAATATGAATAAATAGAGGAATTAAAAATTATATTCTTAGTGATTATTAATAAATTAAATAAATAAATATATGTACATATTATTTTATCAA